AATTGTGATAGTTTAAATAACCAGCCAGATGAACCCATAAAATGGATAAGCAACCAGCATAGGTACAAACCACTTCCTTATTTCTGTAATTAGATATTAGCTACTTCTGATATAGTAGGTATCAGAGCAGCATTTAGTGTTTGGTCCTTGGCTCTGTGTGCTGGTGTACTCATTCACCTAAAGAAACTGTTGCAGATACTCTGTAAATATCCTTAGGAAGGACATTTAGGAAGGGGACTGCATTCCAAAATGATTAAAAAAAAAGAGAAGAAGAAATGAAAATTATTATCACATGTAAAATAATGAGTTTAAGTTAATGATTTTACTACATTGGTAGTACCTTTTGGATTGGTATTTAGTATAGAAACAGTATATGATGTAATGTCATTGGGCACACTGTCAGTATTTCTAGGATGGTATTTTGACCTTGTTAAAATTTTTATTTTGAGTTTCATTTTCAATATGTGTTAGAGTTAAATCTTTTATATTAGATTCATTAGTTTTTTACTTAGTTATTAAAAAATTTGATACTAAAATTTATTATGTGCAAAAAACAATTTATAGAATATTTATAAATTGCAAATACTAGGATTCGAAAATTCATCTTAGCAAATTCAGGTGATATGATTATTCTATTAAAAACAATGAGGGAAATAGATTTGAGCCCTATGACATAGGCAAAACCAACAAATAAGACTCACATGATAGGGAATTATGAATGTCCTGGGTATATTGGAATATATATTAACCACTCCAAGTTAAGGAAAAACGGTCTCTTGACAGAGCTCTGTTTTCTGAGACATGGAGTATTAAGTTATTAAATCTTCTGATATTATATATTAAGCAATATTTTGGAATCGTCAGTTAAAGCAGCTTTAAAGCTTTGGACATATTCACAGTCATGTCTTTTAGAAGGTTTATTTGTGTACCAGAAAGGTATATTTTAATGTAAAATGCCACAAGCATTAGAAAACTGAGTGGACTTGGGTTCCAGTCCCATTCTACCACTTACTAGCTAATGGTTTAAGTCACTTAACTTCTTTTGCTTCAATTCTCTCCCCTGAAATAGAAATAATATACAGTAAATCCTCATTGTTCAATAATTCTTTCTATTTTTTAATTTGTATACTTCTAAAATTTTGTAATCCCACAATCAGTGCATTGCTTTTGTAGGCATAGGCAGAGTAGCTTAGACTTTTGAGTTGCCAAATGAGCACGTTCCCAGCTAAGGTCAGAGATGTTCTGCCACCTTTCTTCAGCTCTTACTCTAAACAATGAAGTATCCCTTTCACACTTTTAAACAGTGCATGGTTTTCAGAATTCTGTTCATTTTTGTTCATAATTTCACTGTTTAAAATGGCCCCTAAATATAGTGTTGCTGTGCTGACCAGTGTTCCTTTAGTCAAGAATCAACCTTTCAGAGAAAACACTTGTTAGAAAAACTTTGTTACAGCCCAAATTGTAGAGCTCTTGGCTTGAGTTAATACTTAGGATAAAAACAATAGAATGACTAAGGTTTTTTTTTTTTTTTTTTTTTTTTTTTTTTTTTTTTTTTTTT